CCCGCGCGCCCTCGCGCGCGCCCCCGCCGCCCGCCCGCTCCCCGGCGGCCCGCGCCCAACGGCTCCATCGCGGGCCGCTGACGTTGCGAGTTCGGCAGGAGAAGGGCGAATCGCAGAGCCGCCGCCGGTGCGCCCGCCGCCCCCCCGCCTTTGTTTCTGACTCGCGGAGGGTGGGGAGACGGACCGGCGCCCCGCCGCGACCCCGGCCCGGACCCGACGGCCCAGGAGAGGATAACCGGACCCGCCAAGCGGATAACCGGGAGCGATCGGGGAGGACCGGAAACAACCGGGATCGAGACCATCTCCCACCCAAACCCGAAACAAAAACCGTGGCGCGAGCCGGAAGGGCGCGTCGCCGAGCGCGGGCACCGCGAGTTCACGATCCCTGCCTGGGTGATGGAGGAGCCTGGGCAGGTCAGATGTTGGGGAAAAGTTTCGTGCTTCCAAGAGTGTGCTGTTGGGGATGGAGTGGGAGAGAAGTTACTGTCCCCTCTGTCCCTTCCAGTTTACAAAGCCTCAGGCCTTGAGCCGCAGGAGAACAACCCTAAGTGTCAGGTGGATGTTAGGATCTCCATTTCACTGGGAGACAAGCGAGACTGGGAAAGGCTGAGAGGTTTCAGACGCGCCCCTTTCCTGTATTAGAGCTGGCAGGAGAACCGTCTCCAAAGCGATGATCCATTATGCCAGCCGGCTTGAAGTAGAAGCTGCAGGCGAGGCTTAAACTTCCCAAGCATCTTTCCTCGCTGCCCTGCCCTGTGAACATCCCATTCTGTCTGCACACCGGAGTCCAGGGGCTGGAAGAGCGGGGCGCCCAGAGCATGCCCGCCCTGGGGAGCCTCTGTCGATCCGATCCCTCTGGCCCAGATCCGCCCCAGAGCTCACAGGACGCATCTCACCTGGGTGGCGGGGGGGAGGAGTCCGGGAAGCCCATTCTGAGTAATGGGTTCATTGCCCCTCAGTGGCCTCGGTCAAATCACTGAAGCTCTTTAAGCTTCCGTCCTCCACATAATAAATGGTGAGAGATGAGCTGCCATTTCCATCAACAAGGAAAGTCAGGGTGATATATGAGATGATCTGTGAAAATTCTTTGATGTTAAGAGTATTGTCCTGCAGAGCTTATGAGAGAATAACAAGCTAATAAGCACATCCATTGGTTGACTTACTGTGGGCACCCAATAATCACAAATGAATAGAAACCCCAGTTACGGAGGAGCAGGAGAAAAGGAAAACCTTTTTCTGGAGTTGTCTCAGGTGGAAGTGTGGGCTAAGTTTGTGGTTTCCAAGGGTGGAGGGTGTTTGGGCTTTTTCTGCTATCTGTCAGGCACACCTTCCTAATCCAATAGTACTCGACTCAACCTCTTTCCACCACCCATCCGAATTAATTCCTCTACTTGAGACTAATTCGAAACTTCATCCTTTCAAAATACTGTCATTTCTTTAAATCTTTAGTGCCACCTTGTGAAGCTTATAGAAAAAGTATTAATATTCCCACTTGGGAAATGAAACGGGGCATGGCAAATCAACTCGTCCAAATTTACACAAGTTACTGGCTTAGTGGATTAGAATCCAGGCTCTCTGATTCCAGTTTAGACTTTTTACACATACACAGACACACACACACACACACACACACACAGCACATTTCCCAGACCATCTCCTCTCCTACTCACCGTCTCTATTTCTTACCTTCCTATTTAAAAGGTCATGAAAAAGAATGAGAAAAATCAAGGATATTTTCATAAATAAGTAATCAAAACATACCAATGTGAGAACTAGGTAGGAATGGTTTTGGATTTAACACTTAAATGGGGTTGGGGCTGTGCCTCAGGGGTAGAGCACTTGCCTAGTGTGTGTGAAAGCGTGGGTTGATCCCCAGCACTGCGAAGGAAAACAAAAGAGTATAGTCTAAGTAGATTTGGCTTAGGGGAAAGAAGTAACCCCTGACTGGCCCCACCTTCCTCCTTTCCTGGTAGCTTTTACTTATTGAACCAATATGGGAGTCTCCCGTGTGCACAGTACTCAGCTCCCTGTGCAATACATGACAGGAGCTGGCGCTTTGGGAAACATCAGGCAGAGGACCCATAAAAAATAACCCGCCCAAGTAATTTTCAGATTCTAGAGCAGATGCATGTGGGCTGAGGAACCTTCTCTGCCTGTCTGCTCCTTAAGATGTTACATAAATCTCTGGCTGGCTCTCTCCCGATATTAACCTGCACCATGCACTGCTTGGCCCTGCTGCCCTCCCCTGCCTCCCTTTCCCTTTCTCCCGTTGTCCCGCACCTCAGCCCCTGTACTTGCCGCACTTTTCCCCTGGCCTCTTCTCAGAGCTGATTTTTCTCTCACCAGGTGAACCTCAAGGCACCTGAATTTGAATCTATGTGAGACTGTTTTTCCAAGGACCGATCTTAAGTGAGAAATCAGAACAAGCACTTCTGGGTTTCTTTACACATTTTTCTAGCACTATCTTCCCTGTAAGCTTGACACCACCACACACCCAAACCACAAAAGTAACTCTGAAGCTTCTTCCTGGCTTCAGGGGAGAGGAGATACTGAGGGACTCATGATGGGGTCAATCCCCTAACGACATCCACGCATAAGATGCCACTGCGCCATTGGTTTCATTCTTCAACTGCATATTCTATAAGAAACTCCACTTATGGGAAAAAGAAGGAAGTTACTGGAGGTAAAAACTTGTTAACTGCTGCTGCCAGTTTACTGGGCAGAACTGTTACACAAACAGTTAAGAAGAAATATCCTTGGCCTTTGTGAATGAGACATAGAGGTCTTATCTGGGGCGTTTCAACCTATGGGGAAGAGGGTTAGTAAAATGATACAAGACATTCTTTTTTTTTTGAGACAGGGTCTTGTTGTGTCGTTCAGGCTGGCCTTGAACTCACTATGTAGCCCAAGCTGGCCTCAAATTCAGAGATCCTCCTGCCTCAGCCTCCCAAGTGCTAGGATTACAGGTGTGTGCCACCAAGTCCAGCTTTAAATTTGTTTTTTAAAGGAAAAAAATGAAGGGCCAATAATAATGGAATCAGCTCTGTAAATCATATGTAAAAATACAAGTCTGATTCTTACTAAAGAAATGGCAAGTTTTGAGTGGATTTCTTGATACTGTTAGTTGAGTAGGCACAATGGAAGCAAATAACATAAGAAAAGTCTCTGTTTTTATTCTTTTTATTCCAGAATTATTTTATCAAGAGGAATGTGAGCACATGTAATCCACTTGAAGGAAGGTGGTTTCCTTTTTTTGTTTTTGGTACCAGGGCTCAAACTCGAGACCTTGCGCTTTCAAGGCAGGCGGTGGAACCACTGAGCTAAATCCCTGGCCCTGGTTTCCATTTTTTAAAAAAGACTATATAATAATTGTAAAATGCTGCATTTATACAATGTTGCCACCTGAAGTACAAACTGTCTCAAAAACTTAGAAAAAACCCCGAAGGATTAAAAATAATTACCCAAAGGGACCACAACAATGGGAAAGAAAATAGAAAAGAACTTAGATCTTAGCTGCAATATGGGCGGAAGCTTAAGGCTTCATATGAATGTGTTTGTGAGAGCTGGGGGAAGTGCAGAAAAGGGAGACAGAATAGCCTCTCGGCTCTTCCCTCATTCTTAGACTGCTGATCAGGGCAGTGGGAGGGTCAGGAGAAATCATTTACTTTGTATTATTATTCTGTACCCCCAATTTGGAGGCAGGAATCATTTCATTTACTACTAGTAGTCAAATTATATCAAATGATTACTATGCATCCATGTTCTAAGCACTTCACATGTATTTCATTTAATCCTTAAAATCCCATTTTATAGATGAGGAAGCTGAGCCACAAAGAGACTAATATTGCCAATGTCACATAGATATGACAGATTGACCCCAGGCTGGCTGTTGCTAGACAATGTCAACATATAAGAAAAGTTACAGAGACATGCATGCGCCCTTCCAGTGAACCAAGGAGGGATTGTGCTGTGGTACTGCTGATGATTTGATTGTGCTGTGGTACTGTTGCTATGATGATTTGAAGATGCCCTAATTCCCCGGCCATCACTTTCTGTTGCCTCTGAGAATGGCATAACTGGCAGCAGAATTGATGATTTGCCTTGGCACTCTTTAAATATACTCTGGGTGGAAGCAGTGCCTTCATGTGCTTGGTGTAGTCATCTCAGATCTCACCTCATGGATTCCCATCTGCGAACCCTGAAGAAATAAAATCAAACCACCCCAGTCTATTCACAGAATGCATTTTTATTGTAGTCATAACATGGTTTCTTAGTGCCACAGAAATTGCAGTGTAGGGACAAACAATTTTTGGATGGCTCTCTAAAGAAACAAGGTGAGTTCTCAGGAACACACTGTGCAGGAATGTGGTTAATGGAAAGAAAGGGCTCCAGGGAAGAGGGCACGGAGGAGAGTGGCATGATTACTTTTTTAGACCCCTCTTGGCTCTGATAACCCCCTTCCCAAGTAAGATCCCCACAGAATCCATCAGCAGCTGAAGTGACTATGCTGTCAGAAACACAAAGAAATAACTATTTACTTGATAAAATACAAGAGGAGCGGGTTGCAATGGCTCAGACTTATGCTCATCTCATCTCTGGGAGCCATGGTCTGTGCCAACAGTTCAGGAGCCAGCGGCCTGCCTGGAGATGAGTTACAGCCACAGGCACAAGCCCCTGTCCAGCCCCTGTGGTCACTGGGGAAGGCCTGGGGGGAGGGTCCAGGAAGGGCCACGATCCCAGTCTCCATCACCCGCTCATCTTCGACTTGCTGACCTCGATATGGCTTGCGAACTCTCCTTGCTTCGGCTGTGCAGTCCCGAGGCCAGCACTTCCTCGAGGAAACTGACAAGGAGATTTAAGGTTACTTAAAGGAAAAGCATCACCTAATAGAATCTCGTGTTCCTGACATTCAAGGACATAAGATACGGTGAATGGTATGCGGGAAGCAAGGGTCTGACAGTTGGGTGGCGAAGTGTCCCTTGAGCACTAACACCTCCAGACTGGGACAGCCCCTTTGTGCTCTTCCCCAGGGTCCTGTGCTTTCTAGGTTCATCTTGTAAGATTTGTTAGGATTCATTTTTAAGTTTAAAATTTCTAGTTAGGAGCCCAGGATTTTTAAGGGCAAGGCTTCTATACTGACTCAAGGCCATGTTACACCAGTGCCTTTTATCTGTGCTCTAGAAATTGCCTGGGAACCTGCATGTGCATTGTGCCTGGAGTCTCTTCCTTATCTATTCAGTAAAGTGGGCCAGGATGACTTCCAAAACAGTTTCTATCCTGTTGCATATTCTCGTCTCTTCTTTAAAAATCTTTCCTTTGCTTACAGAAAACTGTACATAAAGTTCAAAAGCCACTCATACTGTGGCCTGATAATAACTAAAACATTGTTATTTACTTTGTTCTGAGAACTGCTTTACATACCTGTACATGCATATATATGGATGTAGCCCTATGACTTCCATGCTTCTTATCCTCACTTTAAAAAAATGAAACAGGAGCCGGGGATTTAGCTCAGTGGTTCTGCTGCCTGCCTCGCAAGCGCAAGGACCCAAGTTTGATCCCCGGTGCCAAAAAAAAAAAGAAACAAAGCTACTATATTTTCCCGAAAATAAGACCAGTCTTATATTAATTTTTGCACCAAAAGACACAATAGGGCTTATTTTCAGAGGATGTCTTTTTTTTTTTTTTTTTGGTACTGGGGATCAAACTCAGGTCCTTGCACTTGCACAGCAAGCGGTGAAACCACTGAGCTAAATCCCCAGCCCTAGAGGATGTCTTACTGTTTCATGTACAACAATCTACATTTATTCAAATACAGTCATGACATCTTCTGAACATTATCGTAACTCTCCAAACCCTGACTTCTGGCTTGAATTTCTTGCGGCTCCATTTCTAATAGAACCACTGGCCCCAGTCTCGCCTTAAATGAGCACTTCTTATCCCTGTAGCCTGCTCTATTGCATTGGCAACACAGCTATCAGCGATTTTATCCCAGGAATTCTTCACCCAAGTCATGACCCATTCATTGCAAGCTGGGCCTCATAAAGTTTCCATTAAATCAAGCATTAATTGAAGACAAAAATGATGACAGTTATTTGTGGAATGACAGTTCATATAAAAGTGGGCAGAAATTGCAGGCAGCAAAATTCAGAAAATTATTTCACATGACTATATTAAGTACATCCATTACAACACACGACGTATTGAATTACAAACATTTGTGTTAGATACAACCACGTCCATTTGTTATCAAGCGTGCACGTTATTTGTGCGTTGTGTCTGTCCTCCGACTGGTCACTCAGCAGTAAGTCTTGAGTTCATCTGCTTACGTAGGTGTTTATCTCTTTATCTAAAGGTGCCTGCTTAGGTATTTATAAATAATTATAATTTGTATTATCATTTAAATGTTAATGTCAATAATATTATTTATATTGAATGATATATTAATATTATTTTATAATTCAGTATGTCCCTCATGTGTTACCTCAGACATACTAAACATGTCCATCTGGCAGATGATCTTAACTGGGCTTATTTTCCAGTTAGGACTTAATGTTGGGAGAAATATGGAATAGAGAAGTTAAGCACCTGCCAAGGTCACAGTAGCTAGTGAGTGGCTTAGCTGGGATTCAAACCCAGGCTCTAGAGTCTGTGCCTTCAGCACCACACAGTGCTCGCTGCTCTCCCTTGTTGGGCTCCCTGTCACACAGAGCAGCCATGTGCCATGCGTGCCCGGCCACTCACTGCTCTTTACACACCCATGAGCTTCCATATTCGTGTGCTTTTGCTCCTACTGTGTCCCATGTCTGAGATGTACGGCTACTCCTCTCTGCTGAAATCTTGTTTATATTTAAGGGAAATATTAAGTCACTTTTCTGCAAAGCTTTCTCAGGCCCCTCCATGCTGTTGTGCACTCCCGTCACTGTTATCACTCTGCCCAATGCTACTTCAGCTCTGGATCATCCACCTCCCTGGATAGACTATTGTTGCCAAATGATACCATGGGCTCCTTAGGCTAGGAGTAAGTTTAGCTCAGCTTGTTTCTCTAGGAGTTAGCAAAGGTACCCAGTAAAGGTATGTGGAATGAATGGGAAACTGGCAAGAGAAACTTCTCTATAACATATAGGTTATTTGGATGGTATTTATAGATATGCTCAGAACACAGGGTTGGATGAATGACTAGGTATCTTATTATTACCATTGTTTTACAGTTTTAGACCTGAAGAGTTGGGGCTTGGAGGATTTAAATTTCAAACTCCTTTGCAAAAGAAAAAAAATGTAAAGTAGAGTGAAAGGAGTAGAAGATAAGTTCATTTGTTCCTCTACGGAAATACAGTTATCTCTGGCCTGGCCAAAACGTTTGGACTGGAAACATTTGGAGGTCAAAAAACAGTGTTAGGGAATGAGGTAGTGCCACTTTCTAGAAACATAGCAGAACAGAACTTTGATTAGTGACTTCTAGTAAGAATGAAACAAATGTGCTGGGAGGCTTTATGGGATTTTATCAGGTGATTTTTGCTTCATTTCCAACTTTGCTATAAAGGAAAAAAAATAACTTTGCTAAAATTATACTTAAGATCCTTCTCTGTATATCAACAAGACCCCACATTCCTGGTTGCAAAGAGAAAACACTACATTTGCCAAGACTAATTTTGTTTCCTAGGGCCATTGTGCTTTGTTTAAAAAAATCTATTTAGGGACTTTGATGAGTCATTGAACAGAATGCTTAAAAATTATAGGCAATGAACACTGGTAGCTATATCCTAAATTTAGTCTATGCTTAATTATAAAACAAAAGAATGATTTCTAAAAGATTTGTTTTAAGTCAGTCTTACTTAAAAAACAAACTCAAGATTCCCTTCTGTGGCATCATAAAGCAATTCAACTCGGTTAAATTCAATTTCACAGTGTTTACTGAGCCTCCACTGTGAACTGGACATTGAACTAGGGTATGAATGAGTATTCGTCAGGATGTCCAGCTAAGGGCACCCAGTCAGCGGCAGATACACAAGCACAACCCAGCAGCAGACATGGTGTGAAGAGAGCGCCTGCAACGGGCAGAGTAGGTTCACACAACTGCTCTTCTCGGACTGTGCTGTCTTCAAGGGTGTTCTTCCCACTCTACTGACCCAAGGAGGGTGGTAGAAAACAGCAGAACCCCAGCCTCTGCTTTAAAAAGTCAACCTCAGAAAGTCTTGAGTTGCACAATGCAAAGCAAATGCCCTTCCCACTGCCTCTGGTGAGGGACTAGAGAGCGACACTTAGAGGGCTGGGCTTCGGCTCAGTGTGGAGCGGGCAGAGCAGGTGAGGGCTCCTAAAAGAAAAGGTGAGCCCAGCGCTTATAGCATTAACAATTTAAATTACTGGAGTAATTTAGCTGGAAACCATGTTCCTAAACAGAGCGGTCTACTATAACAAAACCATGTATGTGGATGCATATGTATTTAAGTTGCAGATGTGTCTTCCTTCTTTCTCACATAATCCAGGTAGAAATTACATGCGCTGGGGAAGAAAAGCTGACTGATGGTACCAAGTTGTAGATAAGGCAAAGAAGCTCTGGGGTGCTACTGCACAGTGGGCTGACGAGAGATTACAACAATGTACTGCACATCTCAGAAAGTTAGAAGAAAGGGTTTTGAATGTTTCAACATAAGGAAAGAAAAATATTTGAGGAAACAGATGCTTACCTTGATTTAAACATTATACAATGTATACATGTATTGAAACAGCACATGGTACCCCATAAATATGTGTAGCTTTTTATGTCTTTGGGTGTCATTTTGAAAACAAATATAGGGGGCCTGATGATGCACACTTATAGTCCTAGCACTCAGGAGGCTGAGGCAGGAGGATCATAGCAAGTTTGAGGCCAACCTGGGCTACACAGTGAGTTCAAGGCCAGCCTGCATTATATAGTGAGCTGTCTCCAAAAACCCCAAAAACAACAAAAAGTAAACTGGGCATGATGGCACATGCCTGTAATTCCAGGACTTCGTAAGGCTGAGGCAGGAGGACTGCAAGTTTGAGCCCAGCCTGGGCAATTCAGTGACATAGCCAGACCCCATCTCAAAATTAAAAAAAAAAATTTTTTTTAAAGGCTGGGGACAGGGCTGGGGATTTAGCTCAGTGGTTCTGCCACCTGCTTCATAAGTGCAAAGTCCTGAGTTCAATCCCCAGTACCAAAAAAAAAAGGTTGGGGACATAGCTCAGTATAAAGGCCCTGGGTTCAATCTCCAGCAATCCCTTCTCAAAAAGAAAAGAAAAAAAAAAAGACAATGTGGGCTGGGGATTAAGCTCAGTGGTTCCGCTGCCTGCCTCGCAAGCCCAAGGACCCAAGTTCGATCCCCGGTACCAAAAAAAAAAAAAAAAAAAAGACAATGAGTTTAATGGGGGAAAAAAGGACCTTGTAGGGAAATGGAGAATAAAAAAGATTTTCAGGAAAATAATAATGAGAAAAAAGACCTGAGCAGCAGTAAGCTTCTAGTTACAGTTAAATATGTGGCTAAAGCCTGTGAGTATGGGAGTAGGTGCAGCTTTTTTGTTTTTGTTTTGTCTTGTTTTTGGTACCAGGGATCGAACTCAGGTCCTTGTGCTTTCGAGACAGGCAGTGGAACCAATGAGCTAAATCCCTGGCCCAGTATGGGAGCAGGTGAAGAAGGATAGGATGAAATTTTAATAGTTTAAAACACCGAAAACTCCCCTGCTCCCTCTACTCAGTCTCCACTGCTTACAATTTTCGGAGCGAGGCCCTGACTCACCTCTGCTGCCCCCCTCCCCACAGTGTCCCGTGAGCTGTGCGTCTCCTCAAACCCATTCTTCACACCATGGCTGTCCTTCCTCGCATTGCCCTCCCGAGTTTCTTGATATCCTACACTGAGTTGTCATTTGTCTACATGTTGATTTTCCATGTAAGCCTAACAATTTTGGGGAGCACAAGTGACATATGAATACATGTAGAAGTTTTATTTTTTATTTTTATGTTTTTGGTTTTTTGAGACAGGGTCTCGCTATGTAGCCGAGGCTGGCCTCGAACTCGTGGCCATCCTCCTGCTTCAGCCTCCCGGGTGCTGGGTTTACAGGCGTGTGCCACCATGCCTGGCTCTTTGTAGAAGTTTTAAACAGCAAACATGAACTTTAAGTTTTCCTCAACTCTTTTCTCCGTTACTTTTTCCAGAGATAACAATCTGATCAACAAATATTTACTGAGTGCCTACTGTGAGAAGCTTCGAGTATGACAGCAATGAAAGTAAATAACAACAAAGAAAACCCTCTCATGGGATTTATATTCCAATGGAGGAGTAAGGAAGATAAATAAAATTAGTAGGGGAAATACAATAAACTAATACAATGATAATGAGGTAGAAAGTATCCCACTGTACCAAGACACCGAGGGACAAGGAAGCCAAGCTCTTCCATGGCGGAAGTGAGAGTTGGGATACAACGCCAGGCAATCCTGCTTCAGTTTGTTTTCTTAACTATGGAGATGACCCATTTTATTTATCTTCCTTACTCCCTTCTCTCTCTAGATATGAAAGAGGAATCAAGAAAACACTGAGGTTTGATCTAAGCAACTTGAAGAAGAATGGATGTGCTGCTATCTGGGATGGGAAGTCTAAGATGGGAAGCATGTTTAGGAAGACAGTTCAGAAGATTTTGGTTTTCTGTTGTCTTTCTACAATGTGTTAGATAAGAAAAACGCTACGGAGAAAGATAAAGCAGGCTTAAAGAAGGAGAATTGGAGATGGTGGTAGTGGTGTGAGATTTTAAACCCAGTGTGCTCAAGAAGGCTTGCTGGCTGTTGTAGGATTTTGGTTCTTACTTTGGGTAAGATAAGGGATTTCTGGAAGGTTTTGTGCAGAATGTGACTTATATTTTCACAGGATCACTGGCGCTATCTGGAGAAGAGACTGTCGGGAAACAAAGGTGAGGCAGTTATAAAATCCTGCTGCAAAATGATGGTGCCACGGACCCAGGTTGTAGTACTGACAGGGTGTTTGAGAATGGACCTATTTTGAAGGGAAGGATTGCAGGATTTACTGATAAATCATGAGGCAGAGGTGACAGAAAGAGGGGAGTCAAGAAAATACCAAGATTTAGCAGCTCAGAGAGTGGATGTGCCACTAACTGAGACAGAATGTCTAAGATGGGAAGCATATTTAGGAAGAAAGAGTGGATTTTGGTGCATGAGTGCATGTGTGTGTTATGTGTGTTTTGTGCATCCTAGGAGTGAAACCCAGGGCCTTGGGCATGCTAGGCAAACACTCTACTACTGCAGTATATAATACCCCAGCCCCCAAAATTTGTTTTTGATCATGTAAAGTACAGATGTTTATCAGACATTCAAGTACAAATGTCAAGGAGACAGTTGGATATATATGTCTGAAGTCTGGAGAAGTTCAGACTAGAAAGAGATTCTCACTGGGGGGCTGACTTTACTCCCAGGGGATATTTGTCAGAGTTTGGAGATATTTTTAATTGTCATAATTGGTGGAGTGCTACTGGTCCTGGTGGGTAGAGAGAGGCAGGAGATATTGCTAAGCATTCTATAATGCAAAGATAGTTCTCCACAGCAAAGATTATCTAGACCAAAATAGCAGTAGTGTTAAGGTTAAGACATTGGACTAAAGACAGAAATTTGGGAGTTGGCGGTGGGCCAGATGATACAGTCAGGGAGAAGGTGTAGAGATGAACAGTGATGGTCTAAGACTGAGTCCCAGAGATTCTAAAAACAGGAGAAAACAGCAGACTGAGACAGAGAATGAACGGCCACTGAGGGCAGGGGGCGGGAGAGGAGAGTTCCTGGAAGCTAAGTGGCAAAACAAAACTTCAGGGATTAGGGATGTGGCTTAGTGGCAGAGGGCTTGTACAGCATACATGAGCCCTGGGGTTCACATCCCTGCACAAAAAGAAAGGAGAGAGAGGGTGGGGTGGGGAGACGGAGAGAGAACTGACTGTGCAATGTGGCCTATAGGTCAAGTACAATGAGGTCTAAGTTGACGCTGGGTTCAGCCATTTGGAGGTCCCTGGGGACAGCAAAAGCAATTTTGGGGAGCAGAGTAAAAGCCTGAATGGAGTGCTTTAGGGGGCTATGAGGGTGTAGCAGAACATACGAAGAGAGAAATTAGAGACGGTGTGTAAGGAAGTCTTGGAGTTTCAATCCCCAGCACCAAAAAAAAAAAAAAGAACAAGTCTTGGAGAATTCTACTACAAAAGAGAACAGAGGCTGGCATGGTGGCACATGTCTGTAATCCTAGACTCAGGAGGCTGAGGCAGGAGGACCCCCGTGAGTTCAAGGTTCAAGGTCAGCCTGGGCTACATAATGAGTTCAAGGCCAACGTGAACTACAAAGCGAGACCCTGTCTGAAAGAAAGAAAGAAAGGAAGAAAGGAAGAAAGAAAGAAAAAAAAATGGAGGGGGTGGGGTGTGGTTCAGTGGAAGAGTGAATGCTTTAGGATGCCCAAGGCCCTGGATTCAGTAATCACACACAGCATGGATATAGAAAGGAGATTAAGGGCCCGGGATTTAGCTCAGTGGTTCCGCCACCCACCACCTGCCTTGCAAGCACAAGGTTCCGAGTTTGATCCCGGGTCCCCCTCCCCCCAAAAAGAAAGGAGATTAAGAGAGGGGCATTTAAAGATGGGGAAAATGGCTGCATGTTTCTATGCTTCTGTGAATGACCCACTAGCCAGGGAAACGACTGAGGAAGGAAAGAGGACCAAGTGCTGTCAGGAGAAAGTGACAGGGATAGAAGCTGAGGCTGGGGCTGGGGCTACCTCAGCGGAGAGCACCACCCACTGTGACAGGATGCAGGCAGCGGGTGGCGGCGCAGGGAGCTGTGGGAGTTCTTTTTAATGGCTTCTCTCCCCAGTTATTTCCTTCTTCACATAGGTACCCCTTGTATAAAGTAGATGTTGAATTAAGTTTGTTGAATACATGAGAAACATATCTTTTAAATAAAATCCTCATTTAGATGTCACACATTATTCTAAATGTTTCCTAAATATCCAACAGGAATTTTATTAGGCACAAAGGAAAAGGGCAGTATTCAACATCTGTGTCAGAAAATACTGGGAATCTCACACACACAGATCATCCTGCTCCTCGCTGGACACATGCCTTACCATGAAGAACTTACCATTATTCCTCAAATGTGCCACACACCCCACCCTGGCCCCCGTCCTTAATTATGCTGTTTCCTTGGCCTTGCTTGTTCTTTCTTCCCATGGAAAGCCTGCTTATCCTCTAAGGCCTTGCCCTCCTCTGTGAAGCATTTCCTAATTACTCCGTAAGGATTATTTCTAGTTAGGAAACATTTTATTTAACTTATATATATTGACACTTCTCCAAGTTTTCTTAAACCTAAGAACCCCTAGGAGCAGAACAGAATACATTTATCAGTCCTGGAGGTGTAGCCTGGATTAGTAAACCAGCTTACATCTTTTGAGTTCTACTACTGTTTTAAAAGGCAAAAGATTTATACAATCTGAAGAGAAAGCAGAGTATTCCACTATTGTTTTAAAAATGTGTAATTTTGTTATGAAAGGACTTTTAAAAATTTGACAAAAACATATTTAAGAATACCTATTACTTCAATTGTGTAATTTTTGCTGCACATTCTTCAAATTATAATTCAAATTATAATAAAATGGACATTCTGAAAGATGTGTCGTGTTTATTTTGTGCCTTTGTGTGTCCCTCGGACTAATCATATCCTAATTTGAGAAATATGGACTTGTTTGATGCTCTCAGTAGACATAAGATTAGGCACACTGTAGCTATTTTTATATTTTAGTTGCAGCTTTGAAAAGTAGCTCAACAAATATTTTCCCTTTGCTCTCAAACAATATAATTATAATATTCTGTCAATTCTCTTGGCTCACAATTCTTCTGCCCCTTGAGAGGAGTAAAAAACAAAAGAAAAAAACCGTGTCTACAGACAGGTGAATATAGAAGTAAACTGTGGTATGTCCACATAATAAAATGTTACATACCACAGAAAGAGGAATAAATTGACATGTAACAATAGATAAATCTTAGAAGCAATGTTTACTGAAAAATATATGATAACATTTTTATAAAGTTCAAGAACAAGCAAACCTAAATAATATATTATTTAGAAATATATAGATGATTGATAAAAATGTAATTTTCCTCCACCAAAATGTTGGACAGTGCTTACTTGTGGGGAGATAAGGGATGTAACTAGTGAGGAACACATGGATAGATCTATGTTACTGGCAGTTTTCTAGTCCTTGAGTTAGGCAAACAGTTGGTTCAAGGGTATTCATGGTATCATTATGCTTTGTAATTTACATATTATATATCTTCTTTTATAAATATCAAATAGTATATTAAAATCCAACCCTCCCACAAAGATTGAGTTTTTTTCGGTTTCTTAGAATCTTAAGCATGCTGATGTGAATTGTGATTTTTTCCAAGAGTTCTTCAAACTGAGTTGGCTACAAAACACTTTTATCTGCCAGGCATGGTAGCACATTCCCTGTAATCCCATGCCTGTAATCCCAGCACTCAGGAGGCTGAGGCAGGAGGATCGCCATGAGTTTGAGGCCAGCCTGGGCTACAAGGTCAGCCTGAACTACACAATGAGACCCTATCTCAAAAAACAACAAAAAATGGGGGGAAATCGATCAATATCAGTCACACAGAGGTCTGAAAGGGGGTTACTGTCTGAGAATAAGAAGAGCTTATAGATGTGCTTTCTTATCGATGGGAACATTCAAGACCTCATCAATTTGTCAGAGCAACCACAACTATGGGAATAGAATTGTGGTTACCAGAAAAAAAAACCCATAAAAAAAGCCCTAAATAACCCAGTTGTAGCAACCATGGAGGCTGAAGACTCCTTGCAAGTCTTTTAATTACAGAGGTACTGACTTCCACAGGTCTCAAAGAGAAAATTTTACATGAGGGTGAATGGAAATGGAACTACTAAATTTTTGTCTCTTCACAGAACACAGAGGTCATTTGGTATCTGTACTACCTTCATAGTAAATTTTACCACTCTCTTTATATGCTTCCTCTTGGGGTAATAATATAATTCTGCCCCTGAATCATGTTCTTAAAACACATGATTTGGATGTAAGGATGATGACAGAGACGGGGATGATTAATACCTACCATCTTTTTTCTCAGAACTGGGGATTGGACACAGGGACTTCAACTGAGGAACATCCCTGGCCCTTTCACTAAGCCCTAAGTTGCCAAGACTGAGGTTGAGCTTGGAATTCTCCTGCCTCAGCCTCCCAGAGTGCTGAGATTCCAGGCGTGCTCCACCACACCTGGCTACCCAATGTCTTTTTTTTTACTGTACTTTATTTCCCCTAAGTGTAAGTGTAGTAACAGCAGCAGCAGCTTTAACAAGAAGCATCTATGGAGTTCTTATTCTGCGCCAACCTTCTCTAAGCACGTTGTGTATGTTACATCATCTTATCATCACAACGGTGGTATGAAGGCGCCATTAGCACCTCTATTTTACTGCTGAAAATGCCGTCTCGAAAACGTTAAATAATTTGCCCAGGGCTGAAGATGGACATGTGGCAACACTGGGAGTGAAAAAAGGTAGCCAGGCACTGACACTTATGCTCTTAACTGGATGCCAGGCTGCCCCTTACAAGACCAAAAGGTGATTTCTAAATCACAGGTCCCACTTAAGGCCAGAAGCTCTAATGACAATCCTAGCGAAAGAACCTAAGTCCCAAAGGGCTCATTTTCATTCTGGGAAGGTAATACTGTTTTGGCAGAGGAATGACAACACAAGATTGTGCTAGGACAGTTAACTAGAAACTGCACTATATAAGTAATTCCAGCATCAAATCGATGATTTTTAAAAATTGGTAGAGTATTTTGCTATTTTTTCCTGATGATAAAAAACAGAAATACAGATGGTATAGGAAATAATGAAGCAAATGGATCTTTTTTGTCTCACTATACAGAGTTAGTGTGTTTAAGTTTTTTCTTCCATTTTTAAGTTTTTATTATTTCATCCAACAGGTCTTGAAACATGCAAGCAGTGTGTTGGATCTTACATCTACACAAAAAAGTGTATCTTACAAACTTGTGAGCGAGAATATTTTCCTATTATGTACCACTCACTCAAATCAGCTCAAGCAGAAGAAAAACATTTACACACCACACACTGGGGTGGGGAGCCGCTGTCACTGTGAGGAGAGATCAGTGCCCGATCCAGCCCAGTACTCAGCTGGGAAGCTCTTTGAAGCCACATAGTCTTTACCTCTCTCACTCTTTCTTTCTCAGTTGTCTCTGTAAGCTGCACACTGTTAATCTGTTTCCTCTTTGTCTGCATCCGTGCTGAAGTAAACTGCTTTTTTATTTTTTTGGTACCGGGGATCGAACTCGGGACCTTGTGCTTGTGAGGCAGGTGGCGGCACCACTGAGCTAAATCCCCAGCCTCAAGTAAACTGCTTTTAAATCAACCTTCCTCATACAAACTGATGGTTTTTTAGCTTAAGTGTATTTTTAAGAATAAGCAGCAGCAAAGCTCACAGGCATGGTGTGAAGGTATGAATACACGTCTAGGTATTTATACCACAAAGGTATAAAGGTAAAATATTTCTCCGTGGCAATTTGGTAATCTTCCATCTTAGAAGTGCTGATGCCCTCTGATGCAGCAATTGCATCACAACATTGCTAACACATGAATTTGAGCTTCAATTCCAGCTTTCCACTTCCTGGCTATATGGTCTAATGCAAATTAACTCAGTATCACCATATAGTTTTTCATTTGGAAATTGGGATCGCAATAATCTGAAGTAAGCAGACTGTCTGGCATATAGCATATGCTCAAAATTATCTTAAGTGAACAACTGGAAAAGCACATATATGTATATATATGTTTATTTCAGCATTGCTTATAAAATGAAAAATTACAAAGAACTAATATCAAAAAATACTTATTTTGTTTACCCCTGTATATCCAATCTTAAGATAACTCCTGGAATACAGCGAGTAATAAGTATTTGTTGAATGAATAAAAAATGTAGGATTGGTTAAATTATGGCACAAACAAGAAAATGTGATTCAGTCACTGAAAACAAAACAGATAAGTATTTTCCATGGAAGCATATGTATAGTATATTTTCTTTTATTTAAAAAATATATGTGTACCCATTGATAGACAAAGTCTAAAAGATGATGGATCAGGATACTGACAACATTCCTTTGCCTAGTCCTATTTATGTTTTTTTGTTTGTTTGTTTTCTGGGGTTTTTCTGGTACCGGGGATTGAACTCGGGACCTTGCGCTTTCGAGGCAGGCAGTGGAATCACTGAGCTAAATCCCCAGCCCTGCCTGGTCCTATTTAATTTTTTCCTACGAGGATTATGTATTGATTTTTAATGACAAACTATTTTTTTTTTTGAGACAGGGTCTTGCTATACAGTTGAGACAATCTTCCTTCCTCAGGCTCCCTAATGCTTGGATAACAGGTGTGTGCCACCATGCCCAGCAGTGACAAACTAATTTAATTTTAAAAAGTGTCATAGTGCATAAATAAATTAGAATCATGAGACACAACTAGGTTTGGATCCTGGGTTAAATAATTCAATTTTAAAAGAAGGTTATTAGAGTTATTCACTCTACGTTCATTTTCCTATTAAGAATTAATATCTTACAGGTATAGAACATGTTTTTATCTTTCTAGCACCTTGAACAAAACCTCACACGCAATCAGCACTCCATAAATGCTTGTCAGTCACAGGTGAGCTATTCCATCACAGCTTTTGCAGTGGTGTCTAACACTTTGGTCACAGGAGGGAAAAGCTCCCAAAGAAAATTTCTACAAAAAAGGTGCTGGTTCTAGCAGTGTAAAAATGATCTTGGAATGCTCATGAGTGAAGAAGAGTGCTCTCTAGATTCCTTTCTCTTTGAAATGCAAATTCTGTCACAGTATCCTAATTTTTCTGTAAATAATTCAGAGACAGAACCAACTTGTGGTTACGGGAGAAGGTCCAAGTTTCTACTGTTACTTGTTTAGGTAGAAATCTATGAAGTACAGAACCTGCTGGTAATGTGAATTGGTCCCTTCCCAGCTTCAAATACATACACTCAACTGTCTTCTGAGCCCTTCACTGCATCCTCCACAAAAAGCATGACTATCCCTGACTCACTGTCACAGTTAAATTATCAACCTTAGGCATCATTTCAGATAGTGTTGAAATTAATAGCTGTCACTAATTAATCAACTTAATAATTTTTATTTAAAGAGCAACACTGTCTCTAAAATCTTAATCTTTTAATGATGAGAAATCTTTAAATTTATATTATTTAGTTATTGTAGTACTGGAGATTGAATGCTCTACCCGTAAGCAACATCCCCAGGGCTCTATTTATTTTGAGACAGGGTCTCAGGTATGATACTACTGCCTCCTGGGTATCTGGGACTATAGGTGTGCACTACCATGCCCAGCACTTCAATATTTTTTCCCCTACTTTGCCTTATAGTATTTCTTAGCAGGCAGAAAGCCTCATTTTGCCCATTGGGTAAATATATTTTGCTTACCTTATAAGTGACACTTTAAAACAAGGAATTAGGGCCGGGGATTTAGCTCAGTGGTTCCGTCACCTGCCTCGCAAGCGCAAGGTCCCGAGTTTGATCCCCGGTACCAGAAAAAAAAAAAAAAGAATTGACCGATAAAACAAGGAATTGAAGGAAATCATAGCTAGGCAAATCTTCCTAAAATGTTATTTCAACTGAGTACCCACACCAGATATACTGTGTTCAGTATATTTCAGCTTTACCACTTACTAGCTTTATGACTTTGGGCAAGGTATTTAATATCTTTAATAATTGTTCCCTCACCTGAAAAATGAGGTTTACAACAATAATAAAAATATCTAGTCCAGTTGTGTTGGTGCACGCCTGTGATCCCAGCCTTTGGGGAGACCAAGACAGGTGGGATTGCCCATCCTAGCCCAGCCTGAGCAATTTAGAGACTTCATGAGACCCTGTCTTAAAAAAACAAAAACAAAAACAAAAGAAAATGGAAAAAGAGCTGGGGATGTAGCTCAGTGCAAAGGCCCTGCGTTCAACCCCCAATACTGAAAGAAAAAAATCTACCTAATTGGGTTGTTACAATTAAAACAAAATTGAATGAGTAAAGCAAGTCACAAATGTTAGTTGCACAGAAATTTAGAATGTTCTAGTAGCCACA